CCATTCTCTACCATCTGGCAGAATTTTCCTCAACTCCAAGCTGCCACATTGAAACTGTAAGTCATGCATTCTATGATATCCTTGCCTTCTCTACACAAGCCTTGTGTATATTATCTGCACTATTGTAAATGGCTCTACTGCCTTTTAATTCCAAATGCTGCTCATGATTCTACATGTGCCTGAACATGTTACCTAGAAAATGACAATAACTTTTTTTTGATATACTAAGGGTCATGGCCTGAAGAAGCTAACAGAACCGCATCATCTGTGAAAAACAAAACCCTAGAACAGTAGATGTGCATTGAGAACATGTTTAATGTGTGAATGTGGACACGACTCATGCTTTGGGATTCCAAGGATTAGCTAGCCCTTAAAGGTCACCCAAATAGCCTACACACAGCAGCCCCCCACAAAGTGCAGCTGTAGATCCATAAAACCAGTGTACTGCCATGACCCTCTTTACAATTTCCGCAAGCGTAATGATCTGGTCCAAAGTTTCATGGCCAGTACAAAAGCCATATTGCTCCTCCTAGATTTGAGACTCGACTATCAGTTGCAGCCTCTTCTCCAACACCCCAGAGTAATCTGTCCCAGAGAGTCTGAGTGTGATTCCTTTAAAGAATACATCTTAATAGATGCCACACACTCTCCAGTCTTCTTTCTTAGGAATTAGGACAACTACCCCAGTTTGCCATTCAATCTGTGTTATCATAGTCCTCCATGTGACTTAGAAGAGATGTGTCAACCATGACAGTCCTGCAATATCCAAAGTCTACAGAATCTCAGGCTGATTCTGCTCCACACTTGACGCCCTGCCACCAGGGAGCATTTTAACAATCTTGGTAACTTCTGCCACAGAAATGAAATTAACTTATTCCAGCATCCAGATTCTTTTTTTGTTGTTGTTGTTGTTTCAAGAAAGGACATGGTGACTAGTTTAAAGAGATCCTTAAGGTGCCCCTTCTAATGCTTGATGACATCCTCAGTCTGATGTTATCACCTGAACAAGAACCGGTAACCTTCAGGCCACACCTCCTTGAAAGTGCAATGGAGGTCTTGATCACAGTCCTTTCTAATTCCATGTTCCCAACCTACCTTGGAGAATACATGCAGAATATACATAGTTATTCACAAACATAGGCTCCTCCCCTAGAGATTCCCAGTTCACCATCACCAACCATTTAGTTTTACCAGCCTCTACTGCATACAAACCCAACTCACTACCAGGTAGTGAACGGCTGAGCCCTCTCTTCTTACGAGTATTCAAGACATAGCACAGTAGGTCTGGTGATGAGATTGCAAAAACAATCATTGACCTTTGGCTCACAGTGACCTGCTACCAAGTATACTTATGAATCACTTTGTGCTTGATAATATTCCTTGTAACTGTTGCAAAATATATTCAGTGCATGAATTAATATAATAAGTTCTGTGGATAAATAAACAAACAGTTTGTATTTCATATTTTGTTAATTTAAGTTAAAGTGCACATATGTATTTCTTTTGGTACAAAATTAAATAAGTTAATTTGGTATAAGTCTAAAAACATCAACAAACTCTCGTGAGGTTTAAAGTTTAAAGAAGTGAACTAGTGATATACAAGAATTTAAGAACTTCTTGTCATGACAAGCAGCCAGCAAAGTATATGTCTTACTTTGTTTTACCTCTGTTTATCATACCTGAATGCTATCTGGCTTATAACCTTCATGTTAGGTTTTACATTTGAGTAATACGTATTTTGTTTGCTGTGCATTCATTTAAGTTCTTACTGCGTTGTGGCATATGATCTCTCATGACAGTATGAAGATGACGGCAAGAAGACATTGATTAAGATGTGCTCATGACAAAAAGATTTACATGAAGAGAGCGGCAGTGTTTGTTATGAAAGTTCTTTGCCTTGTACACATAAAGACTTCACAAATCACAAACTGGGGTTTCAATATTCTGCTATTATTGATAAATAATCTAGTCCAAGTTTGAATAGTTTAAGTTTTTTTTTTTTTTTTAAATAAGTCAAAGATGCTGAAGGTAAAGTAAAAATAGGTGGAATCACCTTTTAGCCATTTCCTGCACAGGAAGCAATTATTGGAACCCAAAAGAGACAAGTAATTGTTATATTTTACATAAATCAGCTGCAATATTCTGTTTACAGAATAACAATACAATTTTGTTTTCACTTTCAGTTTCCTTTGTCTTGACCGCATTGTCTTTTACTGCAGGTCAGTTCATCTTCTCTTTTTTATCTTCAAATTACAAAAAAATATCTTTAGTTCTTATCCGAAGATTAACAGGCATGTTTAATTTATAGGTCGGATCAGGTTGGTAGGTCCAACTCAATGCTCTGGAAGGGTTGAAGTTTACTACAACAATATGTGGGGAACGATCTGTGATGATAACTGGGACATAGCTGATGCTGAAGTGGTTTGTAGACAGCTGGGCTGTGGTCCGGTTATAAGTGCACCAGGTTCTGCTCACTTTGGTCAAGGAGTTGGTCCAATCTTGCTTGATGATGTTCAGTGCTCAGGATATGAAAGCTCTCTAACCAATTGTTCACACAAAGGTTATGGGAGACATAACTGTGGTCACAGTGAGGATGCTGGTGTGATCTGTTCAGGTAAAGAAAAAATGCTTTACTGACAGCATTTAAAACTCGATTTTAAATGTTCAGACATTTAATATCAATTGACATGATTACATTTAGTGGACTTTATCTAATGGAAGCTTTTCTTTTCTCTCCATTGTTTGACCACAAAAATAAGTAAACTGACAGGAAAAGATTATTATTTTCAGTGTCATTCAGTTGTGGAAATAAACTTTAATTCTCACAACTTACTGTTTTTCAGTGAACCTTCCAAAGCCCAACATCTCTATAAGCTCTGCTGAGGTCACCTGGGGTCAACAAGTCAGCATCACTTGTTCTATGGCCGCGACAACTTTCACCTCTTTAAGTGGGACATTTATCCTCCAACAAACTTCAGGATCATTTAGAATGACTCAGTCATCATATTTCTCCTCTGTTACCTTCAACATCCCTAAAGTGACCCTGGATCATGATGGAGAATTCAAGTGTCAGTTTGAGAAAAGGATGTCAAGTAAAACATTCACCTCCCCCCTCAGTAACTCTGTTCGTCTCAATGGTAAGATTAAATAAATTGTGTAAAGAGTGAATATTTAGTGATATAAATATTTACAGAAAATCCATAATTCATCTTCTCAATTGGCCATGCCCTTATATGGAATAATATTATTCAATTTCCATGTCCATGTCTTTTTTTCACAGTGAGTCTGGAAAGACCCAACATTTCCCTGACTTCACCAAATGCAGGGTTGGTCTGGGGCCCAGGAGGAGCAGAGGTTACCAAGGGTTACGGCTTCTCCTTCACTTGCTCCATTAACCCCACATATCCTCAGGGAGATTTCTCTCTCATCTTCTCTGGGTCCAACATCACAGAAACCAGGCCAGCAGTCAACAACTCAGCCTCCTTCAACTTCCCAGCTGCTGAGTTTGAACACCAGGGCAACTACAGCTGTGTGTATGAGATTACCATGACTACACAGAGGTTCAGTTCTGATGAGACAGAACCCATTACTCTCATTATTAATTGTAAGTAACTGTGTATTTGGGAGATGTATATTTTATTCTCACAAAGTTCAATAAAATAACTTATTCGGGCGTTATTAGCTAAAAACACAAAGGTAATGCTAATAAGAAATGTACAAAATGCATTTTTTAAATAATGATTCTACTTAATGAAAAAAGGGAAACTATTAAAACCAACCTGACAACATGATATAAAGAAATGTCCCCTCAACCTAAGAACTGTTTCAACATTTAAGTTGGTCGGTCAGCTATTTCTGGTTCCCCACTAATAATTCCACACTGTTTTGTGTTGTTTTTTTCACTTGTAGATAATGAATCCTCCCCTTGTATTATTATTGTTGTTGTTGTTGTTATTATTATTACTTCTCAGATCTTTTAGCCTCTTTCATGTTGTCTAACTGGTCCTATAAAAGGGATTTTGTCGAGTAGAATAATCTGGTAAATTGCATTATTTAACAAGAATAGGGATGCATGTTGACTTGGTTAGCTTCTTTTCGGTTTCTAAATTTAACCATTTGAAAACTACATTTTGTTTTCACTCACTGTTATGAGATATGTATTGAATAGATAGATGAGATGGCAGCTCTTTTCAGAAGAATATGGCAGCTTACCTGGTTGGACGAGTTGGAATGAATCAAACATGTTTGAAGCTATAACCTGAACAACAGATTGGGCCTAAAACATCCAGCCTGACCCAACCTAAGCCATAGACATTTTATCTATGGCTTAGGTCAAGCAAAGATCAGACTTAGACTCAGGTCTAAATGTAAATTCTACTAACCAACTGTCGTCTCTTCTAGCCTTGTCGATGCCATGGGTATATTCATTCTCCAGATATTTTTTGCTGGTCCTGCTGGTGTTTCTAGCCGTCTGCCTGGGCTGCAGGAGAAGGCTTGGCTCTAAAAGGCCAGTAGCACCTGACCAAAACCAAGGTCTATATTCAGCAAGAGAAACATTTAAATAAACTAATTGATATTCTACTGTTTATTCATACATTCATTTGCTTCCTGTTGTCTCAGTGGCGTTACAGCAGTTAAACACACAAGACTATACAACTGATTTGGAGCAACAATGAAAAAGAAGCTGGAGATGGACAAAGAGTCGAAAAGCTGCAGCTGATCCAGAACGCTGCTGCTCACGTTCTCACTAAAACCAGGAAGATAGAGAACGTAACACCAGTTTTAAAGTCCCTACACTGGCTTCCTGTAGCTCAGAGAATAGACTTTAAAATAATGTTGTTAGTATATAAATCACTGAATGTCTTAGCACTACAGTACATTAAAGATCTACTGTTGTTGTATCAACATTCTTCTGGTTCTGCTCTGCATCCCCAGAACCAAACAAGGAGAAGCAGCATTCAGCTTCTATGCACCACAAATTTGGAACAAACTTCCTGAAAACTGTAAAACAGCTGAAACACTGAGTGCCTTTAATCTCGACTAACAACCCACCTGTTTAGAGTTGTATTTGAAACGTAATCAATTATGAATTTAACGATGGCACTTGACTTAATGTGATGTTTCGATTGTTGATTCTATTTTGCATGACTTTGTGTTTTTGTGTTTATGATGTAAAGCACGTTGAAATGCCTTGCTGCTGAAACAAAATTTGATTGATTGATTGAAGTGATGATGATCGTGATTATAAGGAAGCAGACATTAATTTAAGACAGATCAGTGTTGGTGTAAAGGATAACAAAGCAGCAGAACAAAGATCAGAAGAAGATGAGGAAGGTCTCATCTTCTTCTGAAGACGATGACTATGAGAATGTTACTGAACCTGGGGAAGTTAATGTGGCACAATATCAAAAATGTGAAAACATGTATCAAAGGGGTTGAAAATAGAAATCAAATTTCACTGTATAATTAGTCATAAAACTAATTAGCCCAAAAAATGTAATTGTGTGAGATAGTGGACTAGTTTAAGGTAAAGGATATGGTCATGTAGATAAATATTCAGTTTTCTGTATTGTTGCATTTCTGTAATTTGAACCAGCAGTGATTCAGGCTGGTTGCGATTGTGATTCTTCCTCGGTGTGTAAAATAACATTCATCGTGAGCCTTCTGTTTCTTCCTGGTTTTAAAGATCTGACTTTTATTTCAACTGATTCCAATTTGTCTTTAGAAAATTGATCAAAGGTACTTTTATTTTGTTCTCTTTGTGGATAAATTGTAAATCTAAATAATTTATTATTTATAGTGCAATTTAAAAACAACAACTGATTTAAACCAGCCCAAAGTTACATAGATTCATCTTTCCATTTCTGAAGATCTACAAATATAGTCAAATCCTCCAGGTTAATATGAGACAGATACCAAAAACAATTAAAACGGATAACAGAAGGTCACCTTTAGAGTAGAAATTATCACTCATTTAGTTTTTTCATACAGTTATACAACTCTCCAGTTAAACAAGATTCTATTCATATTTTAAGCAAAGCCCGAAGTATTCATTAGTTCACATTTCTAGCAGTCTGTAGATTTTATTAATTACAGTTAGCGTGATTAGAATGTTTAGCATTAACCAACAAGTTGTAACATAAGTAGATTCTTCCTTCCCTTATTCAAAAGATTCCCAAAAAGCCTGAATCAAGAAGCCTCTATAGAAAATACTGTTTTCTTTCTAGAATCTTTTTAGGTATCTATTTATATTTTTTCTAACTGCATTTTTAAACACCTTGCTGACCACCACAGTAACTTAATGTATTATTACTATTACTGTATTTCAATTTACCATATTAACTAATTATGAACATCTGTTTTAACCCTTTAAGGCATTGCGGTCACTACAGTGGACAGCTATCTAAAAGCTTGGATCTTGTGTTTCTTGTAGATTTGTATGTTATAAATGCACACAGACCACTGAAGTGGACACTAGTGCATCAGGCATTAAACTGCCACCTACTATCCATCCACTGCAAGTGCAAGAAATTTTTTGTTAAATCCAATATGGCGGACAGCCGGAAGTATATCAGACTAACTCGGGATTATCCAGTCCCCCCTCCCACTGTGGAAAACTCATGCAGATAAAAAAATATGGTGACATCAAGAAACCCCTAAAGACTAATACTACTGATGTATTTATCAAATAGCAACTTTATATTTGGAGAAAATTACAACTGATCACCTGTCCACTGAAGTGGATGTCATGCATCAGTGGCAATATTTTCACAGGTATTGATATCAATACTCTATCTATAGATCTACAATATGCAATATTCCCAAAAAGTATTTTGACTGTAAATAAACTGACATATTTTAGTTCTTAACTTGAAGTCCATTGTTGCTATTAAGAAGTAAAGTTTTCATACTTTACTGGCCAATTGTAGCAATAGTGATAGTGGAGATGAAGATAATAAGGAATCTGTGATCACTGATGTAAATCAAGATGTTGAGGAAGATTAAATAACTGAAGATGCAGAACCTACAGAACTCAAACCAGTATGCAGTCCAAAAAAAAAAAAAAAAAAAGAATCAAAATTTGACAGAACAGGAATTGAGGACATTTCCAGTAATAAATATTTAATCATGTCATACCTCAGATACCCAAGGTCGAGAATGTATTGATCGTCAGATTCAGGTCTTCATCCTGATATGATACTAAGTGTTTTTTCACTTCTTGAAGAAGGTGAATCTTTTGCATTTCAAGGTATCTGTAGCTAGAGATCTCAATTTTCTTATAGAACATATGCAACATCTTGCAGCAAACATTGAAGGAACCCAAGCTGTTCAATGTTTGCTTCTTGTCCACAGCTTCAACCTTGTATCTGCATTTCAGTTTGTTGTCTTGTTGAATGCCAGATTACTTATGTATGAACCTAATATTTTACATTCCTTATCTCTTAAGCTTCATTAAAGGTGATTATCCAAGTTCTTGCTTTGAACTATTCATTTTCTGTTTCTATTATATGTTTTGTTCACAAGTTCTTAAACCTAAAAATTCCATTGTTTAAAATTACTAAATACAATTTCTAACAGGAAAAGAAAATATTTCAGGTACAATTTATTTTATATAAGCCCATAAGTTAAATGCATAATCATATAATAATGTATAAGATTTCAACAGTTCAAAAATAAAATATTTAGCTGAATTTGTTTAATGATTTTTGTAACGTCATCTGCATATCAGTATGCCAGTGTTGTAGTACTCGAGATCGGTCTTGGTCTTGACTTGGTCTCGGGTTAGATGGTCTTGACCACAACACTGCAGTATGCATGTCCTCTGTTAACTCACTCATTTTTCTAAAGTGGCCGATATTTTCCCCCTCAGTTTCCTAACAGCCTCTCTTTGTCACATCCCATAATGTTGAATATTTATTTCACTTCGAACGGTAACGTCACAATATTTGAGACTTTGCTGTCATCATATTTTTATCCCAGAAAATTAACTTTGAAACAGAAACTGAACATATGTGCAAAAAACATTTACAACTTGCTCAAAGGAAAGAGAAACTACTTTTTCGATGTGCACAAGTGAGACAATTTGAAGAATGAACAAATAGTTTTAAGAATTTCAATTATGTTCTGAGAAATACACCATTGCATCTGAGAAAAAATCTGTCATTAAGATTATGTATTTATGTGGCACCTTCATGTTTGTTCTTGAGAATCTCAAGACTAAACCTGTCAGTTTTTCCTCTAAATGTAACCAAAACCATTTCAATCTAAGGGATGGCTGATTGTAATACCCTGATAATTTCATCCTAATGGCAATATCATTTTTTGTTTGCTTATCCAGAGGTTATACAATAAAGTTGCTCACAGTACATACACCATACATAACTTGAGTTCTCAGAACGTTTTTCACAATTACAATTTCTCACTAAATTTGCTTAGTGAAACCAAATCAGTGATTAGCTTTAGTTTTACCTAAAAGCTAAAAGCTGAATAAATGAGAAGATGACAAGGAAAAGAGAAACAAGAGAAAGGCTGGAAGAGAGCAAAGAAGAAAGAACCCTCAACACCCATGAAACTCCAGCTGAATGAGACATCCCATAGCAGAGGAAAAAGACAAGAAAAAAAAACAGCATCAAGACACATGAGCAGACAGAAGCTCTGAAAACAAGTTGTGTTAAGATGTTATGGAGGATCAATTCCCCATAACATAGAAACTGAAAAAAAAAATGATGAGAGACTGAGTTTGGCTTATGATTCCAGAAATTCTGGATGTTGTCACAGTTAAGCCAAAAAAACATTTAGTTTTATTAATAATTTTATTTAGAATAAATGACTGATTACAATGATTAATAATTACATAAGCCAAACATTGATGCAAAATCTGATTCCCAACAGTTTTGATGCCACTGTGTGAGGTTGGTACAACATTTTGGTTTCCAGAAGTCTGATTCCCAACAGCAGAGAAGGTGCATCATTAGAGATGACATGAGAAATTAACATAAGGTTATTTTTATGACCGTTTGTTAGAAGAACCTTACATATAAAAAACACAACATTGTGCTCTGTTCACTGTAAATATGGATACATTCTGACCGTAGCTCCATAGTAATTATATATCAGATTTCTTTATGAAGCATCTGGGTACAAGTTGTAGTTGACAGCCCAGCTATGTTAAAGCACCGATGACAGCAACTGATACAATGGCTAATTTTACAATATGTTCATTTCTAGAATGCATACATATCTATTCACATGGTCACATGTTGTGTTTTAACTGGCTAACTGTAGCTTTGGTATGAAAATCTTGGTTCATTGTTGACAATGAACAAGTTCTAACAACTTGTAGTTGTTAGTGGTCACTGGGGATTCCTGGGTGTTTCTTTGTGAAAAGTCTGTAAAAGTCTTTGCTAAAAACCAAAACCAACCAATTTAATGGATTCTAATGATTCTTTCAAGAAGAAAGATCCCTCATCTATCTAATTATGCCAAAAGCTTGTTGATGGAAACATACACATTATGACCAATGGAAAACGTGGTGAGGGACATTTTCACAATTACTCTATGGGTTCTATCCACATATTCTATTCTGTATGTATAATTTTGAACTTCTGTAAATATGATTTAACATTTATGTCCGTTGTGAGCTAAACTGAACTCTAAATACAACAATTAGCTCTTTATCAAGATTACTGGCAAATACAAAGCTGATAAAACATCTTTACTGTCACTCAGGCTCAATAAAGGCAAAAAAAAGTTTGGCAAGAAAGAATTGTTACTTTCTGTGCTTCACTCTGGTTCATGTATGTTTTGTGGTTTGGTTTTAGCTTTTTGGGGGGTTTAAGTACATTTGAAGCAATTGAAAACATGTCCGACACTCCCTTGACAGTACATATACTTTAAAGACTTGAGCTTGACACTTCCCCTTTTCTTGGATCGATGAGATCAAGTGACTAAATCCTGTGTGAAACTAATTCTCAGAGTTTGTGTTCAAGTTCCATGTTTGAGACGCTATAGTTAGACACCATGCTTTGAATTACAGAAGTAACAAATTAGTAGCTTCTGTCTGTTTTATAGCTGTTCACAGCTTAGCAAAGTTAAAATGGTTAGAAAGGAGTCTCAGTCGATGCATTTGGACTCGGGGTTGCGCATTTATGGATCTATAATTCTATATTCTAGATCTTCACAGGTGTTGCATCTTGTTCTCAGTTAAGTTTCTTGTAATTAGTAATGAGTTATTAATCACTAATTACTTCCCTGAGAAAATAGTCCAATTACTTTACTAATGACATATATTCAAAAAGAATTAATTTATAGTAACCAAGTCACTTTAAAAAAAAAGTATGCAGAATCTGAACATGCTATAAAGCAATATAACTTTTTAGTTGTGTCTAGTAACTTATACTCTTTAAAGGGGCACTATTATGTATTTGTAGGCACATATGCCATTTTACAGCACTGTTACCATCAGTTGTTATAAAAATCTGGTTTATATCAAACTTGACTCAAAACAAAATTGACTGTGTAGTTTAAAGCTTTGAAATTGTGCTTCTGTCTCTTTAAGAAGCTCCTAGTCTTTTTGACATTCCGCCTTCAGGATGTTCCTCCATTAAACCATTTACATTGTTCTTAGGAGCCCTGCACTGAGAAGTAGTGCAGGGCTCTACTTCTCAGCCCTGCTCAGCTGGGGCATAGATGATGATATGTATACATGTTTATACATATCAGCCAGAACACTTTCTTTATAATGAGAAGTAGGAGCTACATCTATAATGAAGTAGAAGTAGCTCCTATAAGTTGATTAACTTATGCACAAGTTAATCAAATGTTCTATAGGAGATTTTAGTGTCATAGTTAATAAAATGCATTGTCAGATATTTTGATCATGAAAGCTGAAGAATCCAAGAATTTACAGTGTACAAAAATGTAATTACTGCAATTAAAATGGTTATCTTAACTTGATAATGTGAGTGAAAATAATGCAGGAATGTGAACTTGTTCAACTAGGTGAGGGTAGTTTTCTTGCATAATGTGCAGTAATTGTTTGGTGTAAATTACAGTATTAAGTTATAATAACTCACAACTGAAGATTGAGCTGTCAGAACTTATAAAGCAATGCTTAGACAGCTAAGTTATTGTTAAATCAACTTAGTTGGATTTAAAATAGTTTTTGTTTTCTCAGTTAAAACAGTTGTCTGGTTGACTTTACCCACATTTGCTCTTTGCTCACTTATCTGGATCTTGATAACATTCTTGTCAAAGTCCAAGTCAATAAACACATTTTATTCCTCCTAATAAATAAAATCATAATTTGCAAACAGCTTTAGATATTTACTTGGGTCTTTTATATCAAATTGAAAAGAAAACATATTGATGATGTGAAACATTTAAATGTGACAGAAAAACAAAAACAGATTAAATCTATATGAGGGAAGCACTTCATAGAACTGTATGCTGATTGAAAATGAGTAAACTAACAGTAAAGATAGCATCTACATTAAGTGAAGCTTAAAGTCTACTCAGCTACTACCAGAGCTACAGAGAAAATTTTAAATGAAACCATAAAAGCTGTGGCTGTTTAAAGCTGTTTCAATAAGTTATTTTTATGACTGAATGCTTTTAAAAAAGATGAAGAGGAAGTGTTCATGTGGTAAGAAGTCAAGTTCCTTTCCACCAGTTTCAGTCCAGTTGAAGAAGACAGTGACACTTTATGCAGCTATGTGGAACAAAAAGCAGAGGAATCATCAGTTTTTTAAAGATTTTATCTGTAAGCTCATATTTCTACTTTTTTTCTATAGTCTCTCTCTCTTTAATTTTTTTTTTTATTTAAAAAATGAATTACATAAATCACCTGCCTTCTGTTAACAGAATGATAATTCAAAGTTTTATCTTGCAGTTTTCCTAGTCTTAGCCTTTTCTTCTTTCACCACAGGTCAGTTTATAAATTTCTCTTCCCATCTGGTGTCTTTCATTGTTTTCAGAACATTAACATAAACATGTTTAATCTTGTTCTTGAAGGTCAGATCAGGTTGGCAGGGCGAGGATCAACTCAGTGCTCTGGAAGGGTTGAAGTTTACCACAACGATACCTGGGGAACGGTCTGTGATGACGACTGGGACATAGCTGATGCTAATGTGGTTTGTCGACAGCTGGACTGTGGCCTTGCTATCAGTGCACCGGGTTCTGCTCGATTTGGTCAAGGAGTTGGAAAAATCTGGCTTGATAACGTTCAGTGCTCAGGAGATGAAAGCTCTCTAACCAGCTGTGGACACAGAGGTTATGGGACACATAACTGTGGCCACAGTGAAGATGCTGGTGTGATCTGTTCAGGTAAAGGAAAAAAGCTTTACAAATATTTAAATGTTCAATTTGAAAATGTTTATATACATCAGCCAGAGCACTTTCTTTTTTTCTTCTTTCTTTTTTCTTAGTGCATATGGCATGTACACTGATCAGAAATGATTGGATTTGAAGTGTCAACGCAAACAGCTTCTTCACAGAACATTAACATAAAAATGTCACATTTTGTTAAAGGTCTGGTCAGGTTGGCAGGTCCTGGATCAACTCGATGCTCTGGAAGGGTAGAAGTTTACCACAACGATACCTGGGGAACGGTCTGTGATGACAGCTGGGGCGTAGCTGATGCTAATGTGGTTTGTCGACAGCTGGACTGTGGTACAGCACTCAATGCAACGGGTTCAGCTCACTTTGGTCAAGGAGATGGAAAAATCTGGCTTGATGACGTTCGGTGCTCAGGAGATGAAAGCTCTCTAACCAGCTGTGGACACAGAGGTTATGGGACACATGACTGTGGCCACAGTGAGGATGCTGGTGTGATCTGTTCAGGTAAAGGAAAAAGCTTTACTAATCACATTTAAAATTTCATCTTCAATGTTTAGATCAGGCTTAAAAAATCCAGCCTAACCTTTAGGAAAACTGTAACTTGCTGATGGAATGTTAAATCACTGTGGTGAGTCCGGTCAGAACCCCAAAGAAACCAGAGTCGGTTGGTCCAACCTGCACTTGTTCAGTCTTTATTTCGCCGTAACGGTGTGGTTCTACAAAATATAAATAATAATGCAGCATCAGTGTCTGATGAATAAATGACTGAAATAATAACACAATTACTTAACTAACTACACTAATAAAGGTTACACAAACATTCTATTCTAAATAAACACAACACAAAACCACGTTGTATAGCTTAAGTGCGCACGTGAACGAAGCGTGCAATCAATTAACGCTAAAACTTAGATATTCAGATACACAAACAATATTCTTAACTTCCTAACATCACTTACTTGTATTCCACGCACACACATCGAAAATAAAAGGTAACAACTGCAAAAAAGTAACTCGAACTACACAAATGAGATAGATAACTCGACTCCTTCCTTTTCTTCTCTACCTTTTTTCATCTACGTGCTGATCCACAGGTGCTCTAAGCTACGCCCTCTTAAAGGGCCTCAGCACTTGAGCAGCCTTTTTCACACAACCCACACCCATAGGCAATGTGTCCGAGCCTGATCCACCCTGAATAATTAACATCACTTATGGGTCTGAGGCCTAAGTAAACCCGACATAATATTTTAATGAAGCTTTTGCAGTTTTCATTTTTAGACCATAATTTGAGAAAGCAAGCAATGTCTTTTCTCCCAATTTTAGCTTTTGTTTAGCATTTTCCAGCTCCATTTTGTCACTTGTTATAACCACAGGGTGAGCCAAGTGCAAATCATCTGATTTTTACGTGTGATTTTAAATAGTGGATCACAGCATAGCTGTGTGCATGTGTTGTGCTGTGTGCTGCACTTGTTACAATCTAATGAATAACAGCACCTCACTTTCTTTCCTTCATCAAACGGATAAGCTGCTTATACTCCTCTATTTAGGTAAGGTAATTTTATTTATATAGCACATTTTCAGCAACAAGGCAATCCAAAGTGCTTGTGTTAATCTACTTAGACCATACTAAGTAGATTAACACAACTTTATATTGTGCATTCATTCTCATTTGACTTTGGTTGTGGTATGTTTATTAATCGTGCCACAGAATCCGAGGTCGGGTCAGACTTGAATTTGAGCCATAAATCCAAACTCTGGCAAAAAAAAAAAAAAAAATATTTTAATGAGTAATTTGATAAAGCATTTGAAGACTAAACAAGCCAACAGTCAGAGGTAATGTAGGCTTAAAAAGAGGAGACACCATTGTGTCTCCTCTTTTGCGCAAAAAGGTTGTTGTTGCGCAACCTCCCCCCTGCCCCCGCTTCTCTCTCTCTCTACTTCCCCTTCTGAGAGGAGGAAGATGTTGCTCTCCAGCTCTCTGTCTAACGGGTCCAAGAAGCCTCTAACTCCTGAGTATTACTCCAGATAGAGGACATTCTGTTTAAGCTGGGCGCGAGAAAGACTAGCCTGATTTCTAACGACCTCCATCCAGATGTCCCACCCTTTTTCACCCTGTGAACTAGCCAGATCGAGCAGCCCTCAATCAGCTAGCTTCACAGAGCACACCTGTTAACGGTCGCGCTTTCTCTTTATTACAACTTGCACTTGTTACTGAACC